CTATAACCATGTATAAAGCAAGACATAAATATAACCATGGGTATAACATATACTTTGAATGCGTTACTAATCCTGAGGACTATGCTGTTTTTTTTTTAAATGGATGAAAATGGAATGGTAATTCCGTTTGCGCTATTGATATACGCTGATGGGGCACCAGTCGGATATGACAAAGGAGAATGAAAGCAGATGAATTAGCCCATCGCGACGAATTCCACAAGAATTTAATGAATGGTAACCCCATTTGCGCTAACAGTATACACTAACAAGGTAACAATGAGGGATGATAGGTGAAAATGAAAACGCAGGTCAGTTAGCCCACCGTGATGAATACACCTGGAATTCAGAACGATGGTTTCCAGGGAGACCACGTAGAGGTCGATCTGATAGTGTATTTTGCTAGCAATGGGACTGGTAGTCCGCATTACTAACAATCTCTTTCCCCCTATTCCAACTGTAATTAACTGCGATGGTTTCCGGGGTGCTAGCAATTGGGTTATGATACCCCATTACTTAAAATCTTTTTCTCCTCAGTAGTACGGTCGTATGTTTCGGTACCTACTCAACGTGATAGTAATAATCTTTATAAAAAATCCATATAATTTTCTTAGATTCCAAATTTATCAGAGATCAGATTCGTCGATCTATTTTTATTTGTTGCAATTGATCATTTCAAGAGTAAGCCCAAGATGCGCCCGAGTTTATCGAAGGACACCTCACACAAAGGTCATTGTCGTGCCATCTCCACAGGCTTCCTGAGAGATGTGAATCACCCCGCAATCAAAACATGCAACAAACATACACACAAATGTACAGCAGCTAGTGTAGTGCAGTAGTGTGCGGGGGCCTGCGCAAGCGCATACGATAAATGTGTCTGTTGGCGTCGTAATGTCTCACTGGGAATAATTTACACTATATTAGTGCATTTTTTAAAGGATGAAAATGAAATAGTAACCACGCCTGCTTTAATCTTGTTAATATTTATTTTTTAAGGAAAGAAAACTTGTAAAGATGTATGGCTGAATGGATATTTGGTACTTTTCAAGCAAAAACTACCGAACGGATTTTAAATGAAATTAAGAACTCGTGTAGATTATATCTTAATCTAGTACATATAATATTATATGTACTAATTGAAACGGACGAAACCGTGAGATACAACTAATATAAGAATAGAATACTGTTGCCACACAATTATACCAATTTTCTGATTCTACGAGTAAAGCTAGAAGATACCCTCTGTTATCATGACATAGTATAAAACAAAGTCGCTGTCGCTGTCTGTCGGTCCCTATGTATGCTTAAATCTTTAAAACTCTGCAACAGATTTTGAAGCGGTTTTTTTATAAGGTAAAGTGATTCAAGAGGAAGGTTTATATGTATAATACATGCATAATATTATAGATAAACACTGATAATTTTAAAGGTTTCTATCGTAATGTGCTGTAATGTGCACCCGTGCGAAGCCGGGGCGGGTCGCTAGTAAGATATAAAACAACGAATGTCTTGGAGTATAACCCAAAACATCCAGAGCCAAGCCAATTTAGAAACCTTCAGCGCATCCGAGATTCGAACCTAAGACCTCATTTACGGGAAGTAACGTGCCCACCACTGTACTACAAGTGTCTTCACATTGATAGAAACGAGAGGATTACTAGAGATAAGATAGGCGAAGTTGATAGTAGATCGTGATGCATCGTCAGCTACGATGGTTCCCAAGGAGATCGTGTCCTAAATACGCTGCGTCCAGTTATCTTCTTCTTCAAGAAATTGCATTCTAAATGGCTTTAGACTCATAAAAACTCCCCTTATGAGAAACGCTTATGTCCAGCAGTGGACAAATAACGGCTGAAATGATGATTAAAATTAAGCGCCTGAAGGAAATTGTAAATTGTTTTTTGCCTTCTACGCAAAACACTTTGTTCTATGTTTATACCTGTAAGTTTAAATGTTCTATGTATCTTAATACAATCTAACAAGATTGTCTGTGGTACTTTTTATGCAATTGAAATGGCCAATAAGCTGACGGTCCACCTGATGGAAAGTGGTTACCAATAAATAGGAATGTCTACTGGCCGTGTGGTCCCGGCATAGTTTCCGTGGGTGTCATATCGTAACTAAGGGGGGGCGAGGGATGGGCAACAGCGTCCCTCTTAAACATTTCCAAAGCTGCGGTTGCCAATTCGCTTGTCAAACATAGCAACTACTAGCAAATTTGAGGCTTGTTTTCAGCAGTGGACAGTTAAAAGCTGATATGATGATGATGATGAAATACGAATGACATCATAGATATCGTAGTATTACGATGCCATTACAAAAGGATTGTTTAGCTTTTCCTAAAAACGCATAAACTAAAACCAAGCGTTCTCTCGATTTATAAAGAAATTTCGAGAACCCTTTGATTCTTAAAGAGAATTTAATTATTAACTCATAAAATACGTTTCTAAGTATATACGTGTAGTTGTGTAGGTCCCGGTATAAAATAACCCACCCTTTCCTTCCCCGTGGATGCCGTAAGAGGCGACTAAGGTAGAGCAAGGGATGAGCAGCAGCGTCCCTCTTGAAACATCTCCAAAAGCCTGGAAAGCATCTCCAAAAGTTGGCGAACTGCGGTTGCCAACTCGCTTGTCAAGCGTGGCAACTACTGGCAAAACCCCCCCTTATAGAGGAGGCTATTCAGCAGTGGAAAGTAAACGGCTTATACAACAACAACAAAATACGTTTCTATATATATCTACGATTAAAACCTTTGCATCTAATTCATATTTAGCTTTGAAATTTTTAAAATATTTTTTTTTGTAAAAATTGTGTAATCCTGATTTTTTTCAGTTTTCAGTGACAGCTTAATAAGTATATTAATGCGTGATCAACGTTATAGTATGCTGTCAGAATGCTTTATAAATAATCAATTGAAAACATTAAAATTGTTTGTTTTTCAATTTCAAACAGATACTTGTGACTTCGTCAAGCTTCATCTAGCTATTGTTCGAACGTATTTAAAAGGTGGGAAATTGCAGTGACATTATGAGGTACGGAAATGTCTACTATTCAAAAATTACATTATAGAAACCATTTTTTTTCTTGAATGAGTGAAAACGGAATAGTCGCTCCGACTGCGCTATCGGTATACGCTGGCAGGACACCAGTGAGGGATGATAAGTGAAGATGAAAGCAGGTTAGTTGATCTATTGTGGTATATCAACCAATTTGTTGCATTCAACAAAATTTAACTAAGGCAGATTCCAGGGAGAACCTCGTGGTGGTCGATCTGATTGGGTCTGTTGCTAGAAATCGGTTTTTTGAATCCCATTACCCCCTTTCCAGGAAGGACTGCGGGAAAGTTAACTTTAACTTATATATTTTTTTTTTTTATACAACTTAGAATGGCAAACAAGCTGACGGCCCACCTGATGGAAAGTGGTAACCGTCGCCTATAGACATGAGCAGTAGCATGGATATAACAGAGTATACTGTTTCACCCATGATACCCCCCATGCGTTGCCATTCCTGAGGACTCAGGTGTTATTCCTCTGTACCCAGTAAATTCACGCCATATCCCACCCTTCAAACCGAAACACAGCCATGCAAACACAGCTGCTTCACGGTTGAAACACGAATGGGACAGAGGTACCCAAGCAATCGACTTTTGTACAAAGTCTCCCTCTGGTATGTAATGACACTTGATATATGTTGTATTATGAAGAATCAGGTAATTACCATCTGAGGGTGTTGATGGATGATAATGGAGTAGTAACCACTCATGCGCTAACGGTATACGCTGGCGGGACACCAGTGAGGGATAACAGATAAGGATGAAGCAGATCACGATAACGCTACATTGTGATAAATACACCTAGAAGTCAGCATAATGGTTTCCAGGGGGGCCAGATGGCGGTCGACCGGATAGGGTATATTGCTAGCATCGGGACTAGTAGTCCACATTACTAACAATCCCTTTCCCCTCGACTATCTGAGGGTACAAGTCAATTCTCAGTCAATTCTGTAAATCTCCTTTCTTAAATTAAGCCAATATTTACAAAAAGTAATACGCCTACTATTGCGACACGGAGGTCATCACGCTGTGACTGATTTGTTTTCTGGACCAAAAATTCAAATTAATAAGTGTAAATAGAATGTACAAAATATTTTTTTTTAGTGTTATTTTTAATGGGTGAAAATGGAATGGTAACCCCGCCTGCGCTAACGCTGGCGGAGCACCAGTGAAGGGTGATAGATGGGAATGAAAACAGGCCAGTTAGCCCATCATGATGAATTCATCAGGAATTAACCATGATAGTTTCCAGAGGAAACCACGAGGAGGTCGACCTGGTTGAGTATATTGCTAGCAATGGGATTTTTAGTCTCCCTTCCCCCCTTTTTTACAGTTGAAGGGACCCGCGATTGATCACGATCTCACCTGATGGAAAGCGATGATGTGGTCTAAGATGGATCTCGTGGGCCTATTCAGATTTGCCTTAAATTGGTCGAGACTATACTTGGATGGAAAAACATAAACAGGGAGAGAGTCCCACTCTTTAACCGTACGCATGATGAAGAAATACGCATCTTACTCACGTTTCAATTCTTAATTCTAAAATGTAAAATTAGGCACAGACAGTACTTTTTTGTAATACTTATAAAATATTTTATACTGCGTATTGAGCATGTAACCTTCGTAGAGTTCGTAGCTTTGACTGACAAACCGATAACTCTAATTGCTAAAAAAGTAATTAAGATGAATAAAAAAGTCATTCCTGATTTCACATCGCCATTTTAGAACAGGAAAAAAAATCATTAGTCCACACCACAATACATGGCACAATTAAAAGGAATTAGGAAAATTGAAATGGGTGAACGCACACATATTTTTTATTACCAAATTAGATCTTAAAACATAGAGCAGAAAGTCCAAATTATTGCAAATAATAAATGAGCCGGTACATGATTCTATATGGTTGCGAGCTAAACTGAACCCACGCGTTTTATTTCACTACAGACTCGCACCATCTTTTGAGCGTATCAGTTCGGCATTGCTCGTTAAACAGCGCGCGCGTTCCAAATTTGAATGAGTTCGCCAATTTCGAATTTTACGAAATGCGTAATTTTTCGAAACACACTCAGCATACTGGTCGCGTTCCAGCCACGTTCCGTTTTCGGTGAAAAGTGTTCCAAAATTGTGTTTCCATTTGTTTCAACTGGTCCTCCTTGATTTGGTGGGTATTCTCGAATATGTACACTTTTGTTTATTTTGTTTATTTATTAATATACAAGTAATATGCAGTTCAATTTTATAAGGTGATGACAGTGTGATTTTAATAATCAACATATGTTAAAAAAATATCAAATATTAAATTTAATTAATATTTAAATTTGAAAAAAAGGAAATGATATTAACTGTTATTTAAGCATAAGGAAAATGAAAGTGTTTAGAGATAAAAAATAAAAATTTATTGTATGTTATTATTTTCCGTCGGATGGACGCGCGTTTCCAACAAAATGTAGAGAGAGAGGCCCATGAAATATTTCAGGTTTTCAGTGTGACGTTGTGTATATATGTATGTGTATATTTTGTATATACTAGTACTGATTTGGTGCCGTCAGTAAGATCTATACTCAAATTTGTTATTAGCGCAGGTTTCTAGAATATCGTAGATCAACTATTATGTTCTTTTTTTACGGAATATAGAATAGCAATCAAGCTGACGGCCCGTCGGATGGAAAGTGGTAACCGTCACCTAACAACACTTTTTATTAAGAATTTTCAAAGATTCTGGACGAGTTTGGAAAAAAATATTTCAAGTCTCTTGTCAAGTGGTTTTCATTTAAAATAATTAAATATGGTTTAAAAATTTTCAAACCCCACAAGAAATAACAAACACATGGGTTTCATGCTTATGTTAACCTAATTTATTTTTTTAGTTTATTCTGGTAAAAAATATGATATTTATATTAAAGGAAAGACGGCTTTAGTAGAGTATACTGTCCTATTGTTTCCCGTCGGTCTCGTAAAAAGCGACTGAGGGAAGTTAATAGTCGAGGGATAGACAGCAGCGCCCTTTTAAAACATCACCAAAGCCTAACTGCGGTTGCCAACCCGCCTGCCAAGCGTGGCAATTACTGGAAAAGCCCCCCCCCCACCCCCAATAGGAGGAAGCCTAAATTAAGCAGCGAACAATTAACTGTTGATATGACGATGATGATAATGGTACTGTCTCATCTTCCAATGAAAATAACGATTGAAAATATTAATTCATTTACTTAGATTTTAAAGTTACTAAATTAAATAGAAAATGTATATGGACGACACAGTATACTCTGTTATGTACATGGCACTGTTCATATATGTAGGCGACGGACACCAACAGGTAGACCATCAGTATGTTTGCCTTTCTAAGTTATATAAAAATAGTTTTATTCATAGAAATAGACGAATCTTTATACTGGGATCAATCGGTCAATCAGTCAATCAATCAGTCGATACTGTGACGCCATTTATCTAAATCTATCTTAATTTATTATTTTAATTTAATAATTTTTCGAAATTACTGTTATTATATATTTATTTATTTATTTATTTACGTCTACGTCATCGGTATATGCGTGCGGAGCACCAGTGAGAGATGATAGGTAAAAATGAAAGCAAATCAATTGGCCCATCGTGATGAATTCATCAAGAAGTCACCATGATGGTTTCCATGGGGGTCGACCTGTTAGGGCATATTGCTAGCAGTGGATCCCATTACAAACAATCCCTTTCCCCCTAGTATAGATATTAGGTTAAAAAAATGTACACAGGCAGACTTATGCCTTAAAGGGATTTCTTGTAGTCAATCTTGAGAACCCAAATGGAGAGAGTATTTATAGGGTTTGTGTATAAAACATAACATATATGGTGCAAAAAATAATACGATAAGTAATAAATTAATTTATTAATAGCATATATAGTTAGTAACAGAGTTTATTTTATGCAACTTAGAATGACAAACAATCTGACGGCCTATCTAATGGAAAGTTGCAACCGTCGCCTATATACATGAGCAGTACCATGGGCATAACAGAGTATACTGTTTCGCCCATGATACCCCCCATGCGTTGCCATTCCTGAGGACTCAGGTGTTATTCCACTGTACCCTGTAAATTCATTGCCATATCCCACCCTTCAAACCGAAAAAACACACATGCAAACACAACTGCTCCACGATAGAAACACGAATGGGACAGAGGTGCCTAAGTAAACGACTTCTGTACAAAGCCTCTCTCTGGTAAATATATATTGATCCTAAGAATAATGTATCTACTTTAATTCTAAATTGAAATTGGAATTGTAAAAATAGGTTTAGAAAATGGCGCCAAACGCTTCGATTCAAACAAACCTCATTCGCTTCTTCCACATTCATCAATCTTTTCATACACGCTCGCCGGTTACGGGTACTTTTAATTTGGCCCTTCTTCAGCACGTCGCCTACTTGGTCAACATACGTCCGTCTAGGGCTGCCCCTACAGAAATTTGATTACTTTTATCATATTATTATAATTAGTATGTACAATAAAGTATTAAATAAATTAAAAAGTACTGAAATAACAGATCGAACCGAAACCCGTCGGAAGGTGAGGCGGTTTAAAAAACTGTCCTGTTACCGAGACGGCCAAAAATAGATTAAGGATCTACGAAAACCGCTACAACCAGTTATAATCTATCGTTGCCTTAGCAATTACTATTTCTCTGTGTACATTTTTTTTTAATAGATGATGATTTATTTTGATGGATGATAACGAAGTGGTACCCCCGCCTGCGCTAACGGTATACGCTTGCGGAGCACCAGTGAAGAAGTAATAAATGAGAATGAAAAGGCAGGTCAGTTAGCCTATCGTGATGATTCACCTGGGATTCAGTACGATGGTTTCCAAGGGGGACTACGTAGAGGTCGAACTGACAAGGTATATTGCTAACAATGGGAGTGGTAGTCCTCATTACTAACAATCCCTCCCCACCCCCTTCCCTTTAATTCAAACCTGTTTGGCTGTTTAAATTAAGAAACAAAAAATCAAATTAAGTTAGTTAATATTTTACAGAAAAACTTCTAACCAAATTAGTCATTTTGATTTAAAAAACTAAACTGTTCAATCGATTTTCAATAAATTTTTAAAATTAGTATCAATATATTAAAAACAGTAAGATTGTACCATAAAATTTTTGTATATGCTGTCACATTGGTCCCGTAGAAATTTCATCAAAATCGGTTCAGTAGTTTAGCTTTTAAAACAAAATAACTGGTTTTTACACAATTAAAGTCGATTTTTTTGTGGGACAAAATCTTTAATTATATTGTCAGCTTGTAATCACTCATAGTAAGCCTCCTGATGGAATATTATAACTGTAGCTTTAGAATTATAAACTAAATATGGAGATAAATTATAAAATAACAACCATGTAATTTTAGACATAGTACATTTAAATAAATACACATAATGTTAACAGGGATTTAAAGAGTAACTGTTGAGTTTCTTGTTTGCTTTTCTAAACAGATAACTACTTTCCGAACCCTGCAGTAGACTAAAAAAAAATTACGATTTAAAAATGCTTGTAAACAATAAAGCTGATTTGAATTTGCATTTGTACGTGTTTATGCGTTATTAATCTCGAAGTCTAAGGTGTTATGCTACCGTATCTTGTAATTTCACATTTCCGCTGGCAGGAGGGAGGGAGAGCGGCAATAATTAAATATGATTAGAGACTTACCAGTTTTTATTACCTTCACAAAGCTGTATAAATATCAATGATGTAAAAAAAAAGTTATAAAAAGCCATATTCTAAATAGAAAAATATAAAATCTAGAAGTCTTACAAAGTTAAGCCCACCTGTTTTACATTTTTATTTAAAATAAAATATAACGATATTATTGTTGTGTAAGATATAAATAAATAAATAAATTTAAAAAGGTATACTTTTAAAAGGAGATCTGTTGACAAAATAGATATTAAACGTAAGATCCATTTTTCTGAAAGAAAGAAAGGTTCTAGATTGGCAATCCTGTACGGGCAAAAGTAGTGTAGGACGACCCCCACTAGATGGAATGACGACTTCAAATGCATTGCAGGGAGTCAGTGGATGCAGGTAGCTCAGGACCGTTCCTTATAGCACTCTATAGGGGAGGCCTATGTCCAGCAGTGGACGAAAACGATGATGATGGTAAAATCCATAGAGATAGATAGATTGTTGTATTTTAGTTCTTAATACTGAGTATTTGAGTAAAATTAGAATTTTTTGTTTGTATATCAGTTTGTCTGTCCCACTGTATGTTTGTTCCGACATCACACAGAAACTGTTGCATCGAATTATATGCGGTTTTCATAGTTGTGTTCCCGAAGGTTCTAACTTAAAATCTGGTATGATACGTCATCTTAATATATATAAACCCGAGTCGTTAAATTCGTTCACACTAATTTCCGAAACTGTTTAACCTATTAATAAAATTTCAATTGAGCGCGAGTGTTCAAAAGACGTTAACTATTTTTTGTTGTTAAGAAACTTTAAGTTAAAACTTATCTATATCTATACTTATAATAAATCTGTAGAGAGGTCAATTCTGTACATGAAATATATTTCCAAAATAACTATCAGGGGGTGATTAGTGATCGATACTGATGCCAAAAATGCAATTAGTAAAATTTTTGTCTGTCTATCTGTTTGTATGTTCGTTATAGAAACAAAAACTACTCGACGGATTTTAACGAAACTTGGTACAATTATTCTTCATACTCCTGGGCAGGTTATAGTATACTTTTCATCACGCTACGATCAATAGGAGCAGAGCAGTGTAAGGAAATGCGTGTACAGCCTTAATGGCCACTTTTTAAAATGTAAAAATGTCAGTCGTGCGAAGCTGAGACGAGCCGCTAGTTCAAAATAATCTGTATAAAAAAAAGTGAACATAAAAATGAGAGATGAAGGCAGGCTTGTTAGCTTCGTGACGAATTCCACTAGACTTTAATTCCATTAACCTTGATGATTTCCAAGGGGAACCGCGTGGGGGTCGACCTGATAGGGTGTACTAACAATCCCTTTTCCCCTAGTATGACGTTTTATTTTGATCTGGTTGATTTTTATATTTAAACCGTATCATCATCACCTATATAAAAAAAAATGCCAATTTTGCAATTATGCTAAACCACTGAGGTGGCAATCAAGCATACGGCTTACCTGATGGTAAGTGGTTACCGTAGCCTATGAACGCCTGCAATACTAAGGGTATCACGCGCGCGTTGCCGACCCTGAAGAAACCTCTTTACCCCCTTTTTGAATAACCCCATGCTGTAGTCTCTTGAAAAAACCTCAGCAGAAAAAACATTCCATAACCTGAGTGTTCGTGGGAGAAAGCATCTCTAAAACCGCGTTGTACGCGACCATTTAGACTGCAGGTTATGAGGGTGAACTCCCTGTCGATGATGAGCCGTACGATGGTAGAAAATGGCCGTTGGCATCATATTGAACAATTCCTATGAGCACAATCCGTTGTGTGGATTGTGCTCAGAGTTAACAATAAAAAAGTTGATTAGTTTAGGCGCCAAGAAGTAACATACAAACTTACGTTCGCATATATAGCATTATAGTAAGGATTTTACTCAGCGGTAGATTATTATGTACGTGTACAGATGGGCAAAGCACCGGGTTTAAACCCGGTGCTTTGGTAAAAACCCAATAAACACCCATAAACTCCCATAATCACCCAAAAAAATAGGTTTTTACGTATTTTTTTGAAAATATGTAAGTAATACCAATAAATTATTTTTATAAATTGTATTGATCAATTCTACAATATTAAATAAAACGTTAACTAATAATATTTCAGGAAATTTTAAAAATCTATATATAATAAAATGAAAGTAATTAATTTTCAGTGTTTTCATGTTGCAGTTGATCAACATGTTGGCCTTTTGCTTCCCGTAGATACTTTAAAATTTCTTCATAACACCTCGTTCGCACACATGGCCGTATATATTTAAATTCTTGAGCCACTAACAGTCCGAAATACTCATTTCTTTTATCCTCTTCTCCATAAATTAAGCATTTAGAACAGTTTGTTTCTTCTTTCAGTAAATTTTCTTTTACTTTATCCTCGTTTTTTTTCTTTGTTGCGACGACGCTGGGTAAATCATCTGGACACTGGGTCTCACTATCGCCAAATATATTTGGAGATCGGCTTCGGCTACGGCTTGGCAGACATTTTTTTCTTTCTACAATTTTAAATTAAATTTATTAGAATAAATGCTTCGAACACACGCGATCTAAGTACCTTTTGTGTTTATTATACCTTACCTACCTAGGTATAAAAAGAGTACTTACGTAGATTTTCTTTTATTAACTGTTTTATACGAAGATCTTGATCTCTCAAATTAGCATCCATTTTACTTCCAGTGATTATCAACTAAATTAATAATCCACAAAGTATTAAATAACGTTTTTATGAAATATTTAGCACAAAAACAATACCCTTTAAATATCGATCGTCAGTAACTGTGGCTGACTTACCTATATTCTAGCAAGCAGGACTGCCAGATGTGAAGGGGAAATCCCCAATAAATTGTTGCATGTGACTGATGATGTGAGCATGTTCGTTTCATAATAAAAATGTTGCCAGGTAACCAAAAAGTCGTATGTTTTTGTGCGAATTACGATCATAATCTTTACGATCGTACATTAAAAAATAGACAAATAATAGTATGAGTACGATTTAAATCGTATATCTGTCAACCCTGCTAGCAAGACAGCGACAAAATCACGTTGCATAACAATGTAGCCCAAGCTTATATCTTATGAAATATACGGAAGAGATACGGACTTAGAAAAAACAGAAATGTTGTTCTTTGTGGAAGTCATTGATGAAATTCTATGTATTTTAGCCCGCAAACTTTCTTCAAACAAAAACAGCGCCATCTAGTATCGAGTTCTGTAATTATCTCTTTGTTTATGGATTTGAAGTAAGACCGCCACGCATGCAATACATTATGACTGGGGATTCCCCTATTCGTCGACGCTGAATATGAGGCGACGACAATCACTGTCAAACGTGTTCACTATTACTCTGACTCTGGTAACGTGACTTCCTGGTAACGTGTTAGGTAGGAAAAGCAGTAAAAAAGTGCATATTAAGGGAGCAGATTTGAAATAATATTTATACTTAACAAGAAATAATTAAAGGTAAGTGGATTTTTGAATGATACAATTATATCATGATCACTTAACAATTTTAACTTAAAATTAGATGTATTATTACAAGCTTTTATTTAGCTTGCGTTATGTAAATAAAAGTATGTAGGTATGTTCGTATGTTGATGCAATTATCCTCAATCCTCAACCGACTGGGATAAAATTTTCCATACACGTTTATTTTGGATGATAGTGCATAGTTAGCTGAGAGTCGTCATTGGATAATAATGGTGGATAGCCTAAGATGTGTACTAGATATTTATTTTTAACATAATATGCGTAAGTACCTAATCGAATTAAAGAAGTTGCTGAGAAAAATACAGAACAATACGATAATAAACTAGCGTCTGCGTTTAATCCTCCGAGGAGATGTAATTTTACAAAGGTTTTTTGTATTTATTTTATTATTTTTTTAATAAATTTATTGTAAATAACAAGAAATAATCATTGTAAAAAAATAGGCACTCTATTGTTGAATTTTCGTCAGACCAACTAATCATCGTTCATTTTTTTAGGTTCAATGGGGAGACCTAAAGATTTACGCATATGGGAGCACTACCGTACTTTACCAAACAAGTCTGTTTCTTGCAAGCTTTGTAATAAGGTCTACAAATTCAGTAATGCTGCCAAAATGCTTCAACATCTTATCACTTGTCCAAAATCTCCAGAAACATTAAAAGACTCTATGAAACTTATAAAAGATAGCTCGTCCAAAACCAAAATGTCTGGACTGTCAGAGATAGAGACAAATGATTCTTTTATAAGCCCCTCGTCGTCTGCTAACACTACAATAAATGCTGAGTTTCAAGACACCGATGATCATATAAAAACAGAATTAGCGAGAGCTATATTTGTAACAGGGACGCCATTATCGATGGTGCAACATCCTTTATGGATACAATTTTTCGAAAAATTGCAACCAAAATTTAAAATACCTTCACGTAAAGCTTTAGCGACAAAATACTTAGATAAAATATATAGAGAAATGCGTTTTGAGTTAAATGAGGAACTAAATGCTTGTAGTTACTTACACCTTCAGTGCGATGGCTGGTCTAATTTAAGAAATGAAGGAATAATAAACTTTCTTATATCAAAACCTCAACCTGCATACGTTAAAAGTTTGAATACAGAAAGTAATCCTCACACTAGTGAATACCTTAGCCAAGAAGTTGAAAAAGTAATGAAAGTGTATGGAGCAAATAAGTTTCTTGTACTTATTGGCGATAACGCTAGAAATATACAAAAGGCATTCGAATTAACAAAACTCAAATATCCACATGTTGTTCCTCTCGGTTGCTGTGCACATATCCTTAACTTGTTGTGCCAAGATATTGTAAAGATACAAGAAGTAACTGTGTTTATTATGCAAGCCATAAATATAATAAAAACTGTTAAAAGGAGTCAACGATTAAGTTCCTTGTTGATAAAATCAAGGCAGGGTGAAGATTCTACACAAACACTAAAATTGCCTTGTGCTACAAGATGGGGAAGTCATGTTACTTCGTTAAAAAGTTTGAAAGCAAATAAGATAGCTTTGCAAATATTAACAGTTAGAGAAGATGTGGTAATTTCAAGAGATATTAAAGATTTAATTCTAAGTGATGATTTCTGGACGAAGACAGGGGAATGTATAAGTATTTTGGAACCAGTCACTGAAAGCATATTTTACTTAGAGAGCGACCAGAATCGTTTGCATCGCACATACATTACATTTAGAGATGTACAAGCTAAGATACGTTTTGCATTAAATGAGATTTCGACATTGAGCGAAGAAAGCAAACAGCAGATTCTAACATCAGTATCTTCAAGATGCAATATGGCAATGAGGCCAATACATTTTGCAGCATATATTCTAGACCCCAGGACTCTAGGAGTCGAACTTACTCAAGAGGAAGAACTTAAGGGTATGGAGTTTATCTACAATTTAAGCCAACACTTAAGTTTGTCAAATGTAATGGCAGATTTGGCGTGTTATAAAGCTAAAGAAAACTTTTGGGCCAGAGGATTTGTATGGAGCTCATTAGATAGCATTGAGCCCCTAATATGGTGGAAAGGTATTTGTGGTTCCACTGAGTTAAGCAAAGTAGCGATTCGTATTCTATCAGCTCCCTGTACTTCGGCAGCCACTGAGCGTTCCTTTAGTATCCAAGGCTACATACATAATAACAAAAGAAATCGACTTACAACTGAAAGAACTGAAAAAATTTCATTCATTTGTTATAACTGGAATCTTAAACATAAAGCTGAATGCGAGGACATTCAGTTTAATGAAGAAAATACCTTAGAAGCTTTCATTGAGCAAGTAAATGAACATAACAGTTTAGACGAAATAGAGCCTATCGAACCTATACAATTCATCGCTTGTAATAACTCTGAATCTGACAGTGATTGACTGTAGTTTTACATTTTACTTTCATCTCTTTCTTAATAAACTCAAAATCAAATTAAAAGTTTTTTATTCTGTAGGCTGCATAATAATATTGTCTATGTCCAGTATAGTGGACGTCTTGCGGCTGAGATGACGATGATGAAGTACAAAATCATAAACACCCAAAAATTTGGGTGTTTATGGGGTTTAAACCCAATAAACCCAAAACACCCGGTTTTTACCCACCAGACTTTAAACCCACCCAGGTGGATTGCCCATCTCTATGTACGTGCCCACCTTACCTATTTTTTGTCGTGAAGCATTAATTATTCCGTTACAATCAAAATGAGATATATAATATAGATGGAGCATCGAGCATCATTCGTAAAGGCAAGCATCATTACGAATCATTTTTTATTGTTTATCTTGTTCTATCATAAATAAGATTTTTTTAATTATTATCACTTTTCAATTTAACCTCAATTTTGCCCATATACAAAGTAATAAATGTACATTATGATAACCCTATTCAAGTATTCACGTCAGGTTCTCGCGAAGCATATAATTAGAGGTACTCTATCTATATTCATATAATCTATGACACGATATGTTTCGTGTCTAATCTATATAAATCTATAGGCGACCGTTAGCTTGTTTGCATTCGTTGTAGTAAAAAAAAATACGGATTTACGGATTTTAAGTCTCCGTACATTTGAAGTCGGATTGTTGGACGGATTCCATTATAACGGATGTAATTCGAACAGAAAATCGTTAATTGGTGAAATTTAAAATTCAAATCGAGCCGCGATTCGGAATAGGATCCTTGTCCTACTCGGATGACGTCAGTTAATCGATTTATTGATCAAAATCAATTTTTCGATAACAAAGATCTTGTTCTGTTTAATAAAGGACTACATAAATACAGATATGTGCTTCATCATAATTTTGATCTAGCCTTTGACTGTTCACTGATGAACATAAGCCTCCTCCTAAGGGGGAGTTGTCAGTAGTTGCCTCGCTTGGCAGGTAGGTTGGCACCCGCAGTTTTTTATTGATGGGTGAAAATGGAATGGTAACCCCGCCTGCGCTAACGGGATACGCTGGCGGGGCACCGGTGAAGGGTGATCGATGAGAATGAAAACAGGCCAGTTAGCCCATCATGATGAATTCATAAGGAATTAACCATGATAGTTTCCAGGGGGAACCGCGAGGAGGTCGACCTGGTTGGGTATATTGTTAGCAATGGGATTCTCAGTCTCCATTACTAACAATCCCTTTCCCCCTGGCAACCGCGGTTAGGCTTTTAGAGATGTGAAAATACTAGACGCTGCTGCCCATCCCTATACCTTTAAATTCCTTTAGTTGTCTATTCTATGTCGGAATCACACGACGAAGCATTTGTAAAATGTAAACAAACAAATTATCAACCTGATTTTAAGACTTTTTTAATGGGTGAAAATGAAAGTTAACCCCACTTGCACTGGTGAAGTCTTATTTCCAGCAATGGACAGTTAACGGCTGAAATGATGATGAATGATGATATAAACCTTTAAGAATTCATTTAACAAGTCTGAACTGCAGGAGCATAGATTTTATTTAATTTATACGTAAGCGCGGGGAACCAATATTAGTTTTGTAATGAACGCACTGCGGGCTGGTTCGAATATCAGAGATGTGCGTAAAGAGGGGCGAGGGATGACCTTTAGCTGTTACGCAGTAAGCTGCATCCACCAGTACCAGTACCAGAGGGAGACTCTGTACAAAAGTCGATTGCTTGGGTACTTCTGTCTCATTCGTGTTTCTACCGTGAAGCAATTGTTCGCATGGCTGTGTTTCGACTTGAAGGGTGGGATATGGCGTGAATTTACAGGGAACAGAGGAATAACATCTGAGTCCTCAGAAATGGCAACGCATGGGGGGTATCATGGGCGAAATGTGTTATGTCCATGGTGCTGCTCATGTCTATAGGCGACGGTTACAACTTTCCATCAGATGGGCCGTCAGCTTGTTTACCATTCTAAGTGGTATAAAAAAAAAAAACAGTAGGTAACTCTGTGTTTCTGCTGGCGGTAATCCTTGCGTCCAGGTCCTTGCAGTGTTTCTTTTTGGCCAAAGGTCGTCTCCGTCTTGAGATCAGTATTATTTTCGTTTATATAATTAAAATTCGTTATTGGCTGTATTTATAAGAGACTTAGCATGTAAGTTATTTTTTAAAAGAGCTGTCGATTTTTGTACTAAATAAATAAAATGAAAAAAATCATACAGTGCAAATAAAGTGTTAAATATATAAAAATATATTAATTTAGATACGTATATAGGTACGTGCTGTTTAGGATCGTGAATTTAAATATATGTTTATTAAAATATCAATTATAAATATCTTATTTATTTATTTATTTAACACTTTATTGCATCAACATAACATGATTTGTTAAACAATATTCAATACGTATAGTGTAGTACAAAAGGCGGTCTTATTGCTAAGCAATCTAAATAATACAGATTATAAAATTATTATTTATTTATTTATTTATACTTCTTAATATGTATGTATTTGCAACAATAAACATAGAGCGCTTCAGTTCACACTTATCTCCCCATTATCAGTTGATCGCGTACAGCATTCCACACTGAACCATACCCTAACACAAGTTGGACTGTAAATAGTCGAGTTACCTACTCGGTCACATGGTGAGATCGACGCCTCGCTTTGCAACGAATAGATTTTCGTGTAAACAAAATTCTTTCCGCGAACACAACTACACTTGTTTATAATCTGTGAACGTGTCTTTGTGAGCTTTCCGTTTTTTATTCTGTGGAATCGATTTGTTAGGGTTCCGTAGCAAAAAGGTATAAAGGATACCTTATGGTGCGACTTCGTCTGTCTGTTCGTCTGTCTGTCACAGCATTATATTTCAGCAAGAAATAATATATTTTAATTTTTTTTTTATTTTATAATTCTTTTAGTTGCGATTGAAAATGTGAGAAATAAATCCACCCCTCCCCCCTATCCTTGAAGTTTATGGATCGATCAATCGGAAATAATTACAGTTTAGAAATGTATAATGAAATATTTTATAATAATGTAACAACGTCTGGTGTTAAGTCCGCTAAATATATATATATATATATATATATATATATATATATATATATATATTAAGTTTATATAAATAAATAAAAAATATATTACAAGAAATATAAAACGAGGTTACTAACTAGCACTGGTTTTGAGAAATTTTAAATAATCCTCTAAAAACAAATTTAATTATGTGGTGCAAATTGTAACATCACTGTGACATTTTTTTTTAATGGATGATAATGGAATGGTAACTACGCCTTCGCTAACGGTATACGCTGGTGGGGCTCTAGTGATGGATAATAGGTGAGAATGAAAAAACAGGTCAGTTAGCTCATCGTGATGAATACATCTGGAATTCATCTTGATGGTTTCTAGGGGGAACCATGTGGAGGTCGACCTGACAGGGTATATTGCTAGCAATGGGACTGGTAGCCCACATTACTAACAATCCATTCCCCCCTCACTTTGACATTACATTATGGGTGCAGTCCACGTAGAAAAGGTCATCAGGTATGTAGGTACTATTTACCTGTACCTAATTGCATCACGTTGGGGGGAAAGGGATTGTTAGCAATGGGTCTAACTGATTCATTGCCAGCAGTACACCTTATCAGGTCGACCTACACGCGGTTCTCCTTGGAAACCATCGTGGTTAATTCCAGCGGAATTCGTCACGATGGGCTAACTGACTTGCTTTCATCATCACCTATCATCCGTCACTGGTGCTCCGCCAGCGTATACCGATAGCGCAGGCGGGCTTACCATTCCATTATCAATTATTAAAAAAAATTGCATCACGTTAAGTTCCGATAGTGTATTTAAAATGTGTGTAAACAATGCGAAAGTTAAAACTGTAAATATATAACATATACTAGAATATTGATTCCTTAGGACAGCAACAATATAATAAGATTGTTTCTTTATTTACATTGTACAATTTGCTCTTTTTACTTAAGTAGATGATTATAATTCTTTTTGACAATTTTGTATTATATTTTGAATGTATAATATTGATGATAATAATAAAAAAAAATGCGTTTTTGAGACAAAGGTCACCAGTTACTTTTGAGCACTTAATTTCTTTTTATTAAGCCATTTTTTTTAAAACCTTTCTAAGTAGAAGTCGTTAGATGTTATTGATTCGAGTTAATGAAACACATAAATAAATAAAAAAAAAAATGTCGAAATGGACACATTTAAAAAAATTACAGTATCTCCGGTTGTCCTGTCCGAGTGTTAGCAGACGGTTCGTCATATTGGTGCAGTGGATGATGTCATCCCATTTCTGTGATAAGAGAGCAATTCATTTCATATTTGACCTAGCTACGAAGGAGATTCCACAGTGAATGTCTTTTGTGCAATGTTGTTGTCAAGCAATCATCTTTATCCTTACTGTACTTATTTATTTATTTATTTACACTTTATTGCACCATTTATAAAATAATAAATACATTTAACTGTAATAAGAAATGATACAAAAGGCGGCCTTATCGTTAAGCAATCTCTTCCAGACAACCTTTGGGTAGAGAACATTGAGAAAAGAAAGAAAAACAAGGGGTAGGTGGCGCACTATTATATATAAATAATATATATATATATATAAATAATATATATATATATATATATATATATATATATATATATATATATATATATATATATATATATATATATAGAATAGGCTACCACTTCCTTATCGAGGTCGAGGGATAGATAGCAGCGTTCTTCTTTAAATATCACCAAAACCTAACTGCAGTTGCTAGGCCGTCCGCCAAACGTGGTAACTACTGGCGAAACCGGAGATTTTTGAACTCAAATTTTTCAGTTTTCGATTTTTCGTACAAGCATATATTATATACTTTCATACAAACCCTGTCCTGACAAACACAACAAAAAAGAATGTGCCAATAGGTGTAACCGTTCTGAAGTCATCAAGTATTTTACAATTAATTTTAATTTATAAACGTTTAAAAACTCTTAACGCCTTAATGGCATAATCAATCACTATGAAATTTAGTATATATGTACTATATGAGATGAAGAAGGACATAGGCTACTTTTGTCTCAGTCTGTCAACATATCCCGGCCACATGAACAAAGTCGCGGGTAAAAGCTAGTGATTTTATAAACGAATAGTATATCAATTATCCTCTTAAAACGCAAAGAGGTAACAAACAAACAATTACCTTTATTATATTAGTAAGAAGCAAGGATTGTTGTCAAGGGCGGAATTTTTTTATTATTATCAAGGTTCCTTACCTTAACCCTCTGAACCGTCATAAGATAACTGTGTTGATCGTTAACCAGCCTGTAAAGACACAGAATTGTGTCTTTCTCTAGAATAGCTAAAGATATGAAGTGTAATTTATATCAAGCACAAAAAACCATAAATAAGGGGGACCTAAAAAGTCCCTGGCTTTGGCCTCTATTTGGAATTGAAAAATAACTCCCAGCAACAGTAATTCCAAACCGATACGACGTTCGTAACCTTCAAAAAAAGAATATATCCCTTTTTAAAACGCCGGCAGCACTTTTGCACTTATAGGTGGCGGTAGTCATTTACAATTAGGCAAGCTGCATGCTCGTTTGCCCCTTGTGTTATTAAAAAATAATATTACCTCATGAATGCTTAAAATCTTGTAATATTACTGAGAAAATTTCATTTGTTTTTCACTTTAATAGCTATTTAAATTTCTTTTTGGGACAGACCAATATTCAGCAATGGACAGTTTTTTTTTTCATTTAAAAATTTCCTCTTGTCGGTGCAACTAATTCATGCATCTTCTTTCAGCCAGTTCTATTCCGGGCCATATCTTTGACCTCCCTATACGACATGACACCTAGTACAACACATGTTTCCTTTATCTGTCCCATGTAGTTATTACTCGGTCTTGCCCTTCCTCTTCTGCCCTCTATTCTTCCTTCTGTTATGCTTTTTAAAAAATCATCATGTCGTATAAGGTGACCCAGCATTTTGCGTCTTCTATTCTCTATTGGTTTTATTCGTTCGGTACTTTTTCTGTCCAGCTTATCTTCTCCATTCTCCTCCGTATCCACATTTCAAATGCTTCAAGTATCTTTTTTTTCTTTTACGTCATTGTCTATATCTCACACCCATTTAATAAT